TTGCCCCCCCAGTTGGTTTGTTTGCCCCAAACTGCCCCCCCAGGAAGCCTGTTTGTTTCCAATTGCCCCCCCCTTTTGGCCTGATACCCCCTAACTGTCCCTTCCCTTCCGGCCTGATCCCCCCCAACGGCCCCCCCCCCCCCCCCCCGCCTACCTGCTTTCCCCCAACTGTCCTCCCCCCACTGGCCTGCTCGCCTCCAACTGCCCCCCTGCAGGCCTGCTCTCCCCCAACTAACCCCACCCTGCCAGCCTGCTTGCCCCCAACTGCCCCCCCTCTCGGCCTTCTCGCCCCCACCTGCCCCCCTCCCGCCAGCCTGCTCACCCCTAACTGCCCCTACCCCGCCGGCCTGATCGCCCCAAACCTGCCTTTGCTTCGGCCCCACCACCATGGCTTTGTCCGGAAGTTTGCCTGTGTCTAATTAGCATATTACCCTTTTATTAGAATAGATGATTTCTGGTTTTTAAACAATTTGTGTGTGTAAATTAACTTCCCCTTTTAATTTTTAAAGTAATAATAGACGTTTTGGAAATTTAATCTGCCCTATAAGTATAATTATAATTGTTTATGTGGGGATTTAATACAAACCTAAGAGTCAAATGCTTCTTACTAAATTTTATATTCATTCAATCAATATAAATGGATGGATTTTAAAATTCAGAAATCTGAAATTAAGATTAAGTTAGACAACTAGATTTTGGGTGGTGTGTGTGTGTGTAAATGGCCTGTTATTGCGCTGCTTAATAGAATAAAAAAGTGAAAAATGCAATTCCTATATGCTTACACTATGTATGTATATTTATTAATTTTAAAATATATATTTACTTATTAAAAAATATCCTCACCTGAGGATATTTTTCCGTTGATTTTTAGAGAGAGTGGAAGGAAGGGGGAGAGACAAACATCCATGTGAGAGAGATGCGTTAATTGGTTGCCTCCGCACCCAACCAGTACACGCCCTTGACTGGAATTGAACCCGGGACCCCTCAGTCTGAGGGCCAACGCTCTATCCACTGAGCCAAACCAGCTAGGGCCCAGGCATACATTTCTATATTTTGAAAAATTGCTGGCAGAGATTTATAAGATGAAAGACTAAGTATTTTAGTTTTGAGATACTCTTGATGTTTTAAGTTTTTGCTACAGTTTATTGACTCTTATCCAGTGATTTTGCTCTAAAGATTTTTATTGTGGTGTCCTTTCAGAAAGTTATAATTTAGTCTATATTCTAGTCTAGTCTACAGTCTAGTCTCTATTCTAAATCCAGAATTAAGTTATTGACATTCAAATGCTTTAGGATTTTTTGAGAGGTTAGATTAAGACCAGAACAAGCTTAAAAAGCTTACCTTTGTACGGCTTCAAGGCAAAGCATAGGCTACATGGCCTTCTGGAATGTTCTAGGGAAGCTCTTGTAGAAATTCTGATTTGATTCAGATTTCCATAGGATAGCTTGAAAATGCCAAGTGTTCTCTGGAATGCAGATTTGACTTACATCCTTGAATTCTCCTAAATCACCGAGATTATTATGATTAGCCAATTTTTGCTATGAAATCTGCAGTGTTTGCTTTGCAGTAAACCACTGTGAATTCTCCTTGTAAGAAAAAATTCCTCTTCTTTCCTTCTTTTCCTTTTTC